AGTCACTCAGTGGAGCGCCAGAGTAAACTTCCTTCTTGTTTCCTTCAAGATGGCAGCTATGAATTTGCACTTATACTTTCTTAAGTTAAACACAGCAGCATTTTAAGCGCTGTGAGGCATGCTTTGGATCTCACACTTAGGAGGGAGAAGTGGGCGGCTCTCATGAATTCAACTTAAAGATATACCACATAGTGAGTTAAGATCAGCCAGGGCTACAAAGAGTGCTCCTGTCTCCCCTTCCCCAGAAAAAAACGACCTTAAGGCCAAATCTGGACAGCATTTACCTGTAACCCCAGCATTTGGGAAGTGGAGGATAGAGGATCAGGAGGAATTCAAGGTTGTCCTCTGTCACAGAGCAAGTTTAGCAAATTTGAGAGCAAACTGGTACCCAAGGAGGGTGCCAGAGCTGGATGGAGTTAGAGGCGGGTGTGCACTGCCTGACCTGGATGCTGGAAAATGAAGCTTAAATACTCTAAGAGAACAGCAAGTACTCATCTACTGAGCCTTTCTCCAGCCTTGAATACTCTGGAAGAACAGCAAGTACTCACCCACTGAGCCGTTTCTCCAACCTTGGCACATAATTTTATTAGAGGCCAAAGTTCTTTTTAATAGTCTAGACATGTCCCCTTTTCAACACTGCTAGTTTCGTGAAGCATAAATTCAATATGAACACAGACAGACTTAAAAATAACAGTGGGAAGGATCAATGTCATTTCTGTGCGTAGAGGAAAGCGGCTCTGGCCCAGGCTGCTCCACATGGAGCAGTACGACTTACCTTGCTAAGATTACCTACTATCTTGCTAAGATTCTACAGGGCATTTAAAAAAAAACCTCTTCGGTGCAGGAGTGTCCAGGCTTTTGACATTGCAGTGTGACAATAGTGAGTTCAGAACAAGCATGTTGAGCTGCATGCTCACCGTTCTGGGATCCGTTCAGCCTATGGGCTGGGCTGCAGGCCAGATGAGCCAAGGGGGCCTTGAGGCATCCACACGGGATTTCTTCCATTCTTACAGGGCTGGGTACCACTCTGACCGACCAAACAGACCCTGAGCTCTTAGCAGTTTCTCAGCAGTGCCTTTCTGAGTTCATACATCCTTAGGGCTTCTAGAATATCCAGGTCCCTCAGGCAAAAGGACCAAGTGATGCTGGCCCAGGCTTTTCTCTGCTGAGAGACAGGCTCCTCTCGAGATGGTTGTGACAGGCAGACAGACAGACATCTGTGGGGCAAGGTTGCTGTTGTTGGGTTCCTTAGGAGGAAAAAGAAGAAAGAGGAAATACCTATGCAGAGACACGAAGCAGACAAGGGGTTAATTATTCTTTCTTTTAAGCTCTGGAGATCAAGCAGTGTCTGCACGCTAGGCACACCCTACCCTGAGCGAGATCCCCAGTCAAGCTGCTACATTTTAATAACCAGAAAGGCTAGTGGGAATTGAAAAGCAAACTATTAAAATGAGCAATGAGCGAAATTAGTCAGCTTTAAGAAGGTCATGAAAATGAATATAAATAATAGATGGTTTAATTTGCACTGGCAAGGCCACTGCGTGTGAGCCAAGCTGCGGAAGCTCCCACTGCTGCAGGGGTCGGGGTCTCCGGCCAGTGGTGGACACTGACAACGACCTGTCGCTGGGTTATTTCCTCTCGTCAGTGGTGGAACTAGGTCACGAGAACATGATGCTAACAGGAGAACATGATGCTAACAGTTTCATTTTCCTTTGTCAAATTCAAAGAGTTTTGTTTATTAGTTCGCATAGAAAAATTATGTAATTTTTAAACCTGTATATTACTCTATTTTAGTATCTTCTTCATGAACCCTGCTGCTTTATTCTTTAGCAAACACTTATCAGTTACCTATAATCAACTCAGTATGTTCTATACACTTGAGACACAGATAAAAGAAGGAAAGATAAATAATATTTTATTTTATTTATTAAATTTGTTAAGGATGTTTTTTATATTTCATTTTGTGTGTGTATGTGTGTGTGTACACATGAGTGTATGAGTCATAGAGGCCTAAAGAGAGGGTTAGATATTCTCTAGATGGAATTACACATAGTTATAGGCTCCCAGTGTATGTCTTGGAGAACAGCAAGTGCAAGCTCCTGGACCATATTTCTAACCCAACAGATATAACGCTACTAATGAAAATTTTAACACCACAGCACACAATGAAAACTGCTTTGAAGAAGAAATAAAATAGAAAAGAAGCTGTCGAAGGCCTCTTTTGTTAAAGTAGGGTTAGGGCTGTGCTACTGGGGGCTCCTGGTTCCCGGGCGTGCGCTAGCACATTTTGGCATTTTGCAAGCCAGTCATTACTAAGGGGTAAATGCAGCCAGGTGTGGCAGCCTCTGATAGTAATCTGCAGCACTCAGAAGGTGGGGGTGGGATAATTGCAGTGAGTTCAACGGCCATCCTGAGCTACACAGGGAGATACTGTCTCTCAACAGCGTTAGGTGGAGCTCAGTTGGTAGAATTGCTTGCCTAGCATGCAAGAGGACTTGTGTCTGAATCTCAGAACTCAGTAATCTGGGCATTTGGGAGGTAGAGGCAGAAAATCAGTCACTTAAGGTAATAGACACTTAGTCTATAAGTGAATTTGAGGCTAGCCTGGGCTAGGCTACGCGAGGCTCTAGCTCAACAAAAACCCAAAACACTAAAAGCATTTTAATTGTTTTTAGAAGTTAAATTACATTAACCTACATGCAAATGAATTCTATTTAAGACGTAACGAAGATTGAAGACACCGCTTCATGATTTACCACCCGTCATGATTCATTACACTCTCTGAGCACGATCACCTCATTTAATGACGGGCTGTGGGCCGAAAACATGTTCTGAAGGCACTTCATCACTGGGTAAACATTTTTTCTTACACAACCTACATAGTAAAGCTGACTACACACCTCAGCTGTGTGAGTACATGCATGTGTGTCTCTCAACAGGCAGTGTGAACAAAGGTGCTTGAGCACACACGCTCTTGGGCCGTGAGGAGTAAAACCACACGAGATGAAGCCATGTGCAGGGAGAAGCGAACTCGTGACTCGGGCAGCATGAGCTTGGTGACACGGCTTGCTGCCCGTGGAACATGGTTCGTGCTTCCCAGCAGGGTTTTTTGTTTGTTTGTTTTTGGTTTGCTTCGTTTTTTTTTCCCCCATGACAGGGTTTCTCTGTGTGACCATGTCACCATCATGGTCTCACTTTGTAGACCAGAACCTTAAACTCAGAAAAGATCCACCTGCCTCTGCCTGCCTGGTATTAAAGGCGTGCATCACCACGCCCAGCTAGTTTTTTGCTGTTGTTTTAAATAAAATGAGTACATTCTAAAAATAATGATTAAGGGCTGAGGAGGTGGCTCAGTGGGTGAGAAAAGTCTGCTGTACAAGCATGAGGACCTGAGTTCGAATCTATAGCATCCAAATAAAAAGCTAAGCATGGGGCTGACAAGATTGTGTGGGAGACACAGGCATTTGCTGCCACTTCTGGAAACCTGAGTTCAGCTCTCAGAACCCACATGTTGGAAGGAGAGAACCATTTCCCACAAATGGTCCTCTAACTTCCACACGAAGTCTATAACATGTGCTCCCCTACCCAACCCCCGGGCAGGTAGAGTACTTTTCTAGACCTCATAAAGCCCTGGGTTTGAGTCCCAGGACAGAAATACGAGTAAAATAAATACATGAAACATTAACATTGCCGCTATCAGGTGTTCTGCATTGTATCCTATTATGGCCATCAATAAGAAACTACACAGTCCCCATCCAGGCAAATGACAAATGGTCCAGAGCCATTAGGAATGAAGGTGTGGGTCACCTGTCCAGGTAAAGCACTAAGGTCAACGGAGGTGCTTATAGAAGGTAGGGGGAATCCTGACTGAGTAGTATAAAAAGATAGTTATAAATATCAATTATGGGGTCTGGAGAGATGACTCAGCAGGTAAGGGTAAATCCTGGTCTCTGGCCTCCATCTTTGGAGGCCCTGCCCCTATGCCCCTTGCACTCTGACACCTCCCCGAGGAGGGTCAAGGTAGACCACCAAACCTTGAACCTTGACCACTCCCCAAGTCTATTTAAATTGCTCCCTGGAAAGTCAACACAGGACATAAGGAAATAGGTTTGGTGCCAAACTGACAACAAGTGAACTCTAACAGTCTTGACTGTCAACCTGACTGGCTAGAGAGATGCTAGTCTCTCCATTGGTCAAGATGCTTCTGAGTACGTCTGTGAACACTTTTCCGGACAGGACTGGCATATGAAAGGAAGACGGGGTGAGTGTGTGTGTGTGTGTGTGTGTGTGTGTGTGTGTGTGTGTGTGTGTGAAGGATCTGCCTCGAATGCTGACAGTGCCCTGCAGGCGGCTACAGAAACAGAGAGACAAATCTTGAGAAGACTTGAGCATGTGAGCACTCCTGCTCTGGTGTGTCTAGAGTCACCACCCACAGCCATGCAATGCCAGTTTCCACGGTGTTTTCAGGTGGCCCCACAACAGCAGCTCTGCAGGGAGCCTGCAGACCAACAGCGTTGGACTAGGAAGTCATTGCTGGCTTCCATTATTCGCTAGTCCAGCTTCTTTGACTGACCAATTACTGAATTCTCTGCCTCTCCAGTGTGGACTACCCAGCTTCCTGTTGTGTAAGTCAGTGTAGGAAGTTCACTTATAAAGCATGCACGCGCACACACACACACACACACACACACACTACTAGTTCTATCTCTCTAGAGAACTATGACCAATACAAGATTATTGCTCCTACTTTAGAAGCCAGAACATATTACATGATTTTTTGCCTGAGGAACTCAGAAAAGAAAGGGGGGAAATAAGAACCATCACCAGCAACCTCACTCTAAAGGCTTCCATGTTCTGACCAGAGGAAAAAACAACAGCCACTTGATTTCCTCATTTTTAATTTATTTATTGAAGACTTACAATGTTAGCTTCTAAGCAGACACAAATAAGGCACTATTTCTTGGAGAGTCCACCATTTAGTGAGGAAAGGTCTCTCCCATAAAGAGAAAATTGTAACAAGTGAATTTTCAGGAAATGGAGGTGAGAGAGAAACTGACCAAAGGACACCCCAGAGTCAATCAGCAAAATCCAGACTTCAGGCCAAGAGACTGTTTCTTCACAGGTGAACTCCCGGAAACTAAACCTGTGCCTTAGACTGAATGAGACTTGAGACAGGATCGACCCAGGGGAAGCTTTCTTCACTCTTATTTCAAGCAAACTGGACACAAAGTTTAAGTGAGATGGGACAGAAGTTTGAACACTAAAATGGACATTTGGTAGCATTAGAGGAGGATAAGTTTAACTTTGGAGATGTTTCAATGGATCATGGTGCTATGGTTGCCGTTAACATGACTTTAGATTTCAGGAAAAAAAATATAAGAAGAAATATCTGTAGACAAAATGATACGATGTCTAGAAGTTTCTTCAGAGCAATTCAGGAAGAGACAGTAAATGAAGGAGGCAAGACTGGCCACCAATTGATCATTATACGACTGGATGAGAGTTACCTGGGGATCAAAGTTAGCGAATATTTAAAATTTCCCACACTAAAGAGCTTTAGAAGAACAGTGCCTGGGGTGGACTCAAAGAGGCTGAAAACTGCTGACAAAATATTGCTGCATGTTGGGACACTTCCAAGACTAGGATATTCATAGGAGAAACAGCTCCTAGGCAGCCAGAGAGCACGACAAACGCATGACATCCCTCAGAGGAGCCCTCATGCTGTCAGGGTCAGAGATGGGTGGTATTAGTTTATCAGGAGGTGCCAGCTACTATCACATGCACACAGGCTGCCAGAGCTCATGGAACTTCCTTCTGTTGACATGTGTTAAAATGAACTCAATGAAACAGGGGATTGGGTGTCTGTGCAGGAAATTGGGAGAATAGGTAGGGGGATGTGGGTTCTGTCATTTACCAATTGTGAGCCTTAAAGACAGATCTTTTTTAGTTAAAAACAAACAAACAAATAAACAAGCCAGACTCAGGCTGGGCAGTGGTGGTACACACCTTTAATCCCAGCGCTTGGGAGGTTGAGGCTGGCAGATCTCTGTGAGTTCGAGGTCAGCCTGGTCTACAGAGCTAGTTCCAGGACAGCCGGGACGACATAGCCCCAAAAACCTGTTTTCTACTTCACACATAAGTGGGTGGGCATGGTGAACCCTAGTTATGTGCGCTGATTTTCAGCACAGTCCTTACGAACTTGGCACTTTCCTCAGCAAGAGAAAGTTGGGTATGATTTGGTGATACCAGTGTTCATAGCTCCTCTCTGCATGAGCACACTATGCGTTGTCTTTTCTTGGTTCTGTGGAGGAATATGGAGAAGCTTGGTGTACCTGATGAAGTTAAAATAGTTATTAGATGTCACCCTAGGTCCGCAATTCCTGATACAATAAAAGGTATGAAAGCACCCAATTTGCCTCCCCTCTCCCCACTTTGCCCCCTGTTCCCCAACACACACCTGTACTTTGGGCTCAGCAGGAATGTAGCCATCTATCTTAGTTGGGGGTCACTGCGGCTGTGATGAAATACCATGACCAAGCTGCGGGAGGAAAGAGCTTCTTTGACCTACTCGTTTTTATCCGTTGTCCATCACTGAAGGAGTCAGCACAGGAATGCAAACAGAGCCAGAACCTGCAGGCAGGAGCTGCTGCAGAGGCCGTGGAGGGGTGGTGCTTGCTGGCCTGCTCAGCCTGCTTTCTTACAGAATCCAGCAGTATCATAATGGGCTGAGCCTGCCCCCATCAATCACGAATTAAGAATGCTCTACGGGCTTGCCTAAAGAGCAATCTTATGGAGGAATTTTCTCAATCGGGGTTCCCTCCCCTCAGGTAACTCTAGCCTGTGTCAAGTTGACATCACCTTAGCCGGGCCACTGTCCATCATGGAGACACCTATGTGAGCTCTGATGCACTGAATGTCATTCATGGAAACACCTCACCCCATCTTGGCAGAAGGCACTAAAGAGCGCAAACACGGTGTGAACCGCACCTTGGCATTTGAAAGACAAACAAGGGTGAGTGAGATCTGCTTGGTCTCTGAACCTGTACCTTACAACTCCTGTCAGTGTGGATGGTGCCAAGAGAGGGGATGGCAGAATTCACAGATGGGAAGGCAGGGCTGACTTCTTGCTATGGTTTCAACATGTTCCCGAAAAGCTCCAAAGATAACAGACTTCCTGGTTTCCAGATCCACGAGCGAAAGACACCCCTCTTATTTATAAACTATCCAGTTTGTAGTATTTGGCTAAGACCGCAGAAGCCTGGCTAAGACAGCATCCTCTCTTCTCCTCTTCCTCTCCGCTTCCACCTCCCAGTCTTTTGGTTCAGGGACAGGAACACATTCTGTCTTAAGAGCATCTGCTGGGCTGCCAGCCCGAAGGTGGGCCATCTCACTTGCCTGTCTCTGCATAAACTCCGAGAAGCCTCCCCACACCAGCAACCTTTTAATCTCCACTCTCAGGACTTCCTCACTTCCCAGTCAGCTTTTTATCAGACAGTAACTTTGTGTTAGTTCCTTTGTACGGGTACCATACACTCTAATATGTGGGCTTTTGTCTGTGCTTGCAGAAGAACGCAAAGGAAACGCAAAGGAATCTCAAAACTGTAGCTGGATATGGTGGCGTGTGCCTGTAATCCCAGCACTTGGAAGTTAGAGACTGGGTAGCAGGCATTCAAGGCCATGCTTGGCTATATATACAGTTGAATGCCATTCTGGATTACAGGAGACCCAAAAGCAAACCAAGCCACCAACAAAAATACTCTAGCTCTGTGAATTATTAATAACTTATGTGAATGCATCTATATCATCTCCATTCGGGTGATAGAATAGGTCTAAGTAAGGGATGACGGCAAATATCAGCTGCTCTGAGAGACTGAGGCAGGAGGATCACAAGCTCCAAGCCATCCTTAGCTATAACTATAGGCAGTTTAAGATCAACTTATACAACTGGACCAGGCTTTCTTCTTTTGGACCACCAACTAGCTCTCAAATCATAGCACGGAGACTTATTAGTTCTGGATGCTTGGCCGAGCTTAGGCTCATTTCTGGCTAGCTCTTTTAACTTAAATCAACCTGTTTCTCGCGATCCCCTGGAAATGGAATCTCAGATGGTTGCAAGCACTTTCTGTGTTAATGCTGATAACCAAACCCAGGTCCTCTGATAGAGAAGTCGGTGTTCTTAACTGTCTTTTTAAACCCTCGGTGACCTGGCACTCACTGCCTAGGTCAAGCTTTGAACTCACAACAACCCTCCTCAGCCGCCCACTGGTCAGGATTGCAGGAGGGAGGCAGATCAGAAACATTCTTGCTTGTGCTCCGTCATGCCCAGGTGTGTGCATCACTCAGCTGACCCCGAATACACATTTTGCGTGATGACATCAGGAGGGTGAATCGACTTTCTTTTTACATGATCTGGTGTGAAAAACCCGTTGCCCCAGCATTCTGAAATAACCAGTCCTTCCGGGTGCTCTTCAGCGCCACTCCTGACATAAACTGTCTCTACAAGTGAACTCCTTTCTGAATTTCCTTTTGCTTCGCTGGCCTATTTGACTTATTCCCCATTTGGCTCTTCTTTTTCAAAAAATTTCCCCCATCTGCTATGTTCTTTTTTAATTTAATCGAAATTTTGAGACAGGGTTTTACTAGCTGGTCTGAAATTTACTGTGTAGACCAGATTAACCTCGAACTCACGGAGATTTCCCTGTTTCTACTTTACCGCTACTGGCCCGCGCCTAAGAGCTGTTTTCGAAGGCAAGCAGCCCAGCATCCCAGAAACGATGGGCACCGATGCACACGTGATGCATGGTGGAGGGTCCTTGGTATACCTAGGAGAATAGCGTAAGGCGGCCTCCTGCTATGCTTGCTACGAGACTTCCTCCGCAGCCTGGCCCTCCTGGAGGTGCACCCGTAAGGACAAGCCTCCGGGAGCCGAGTAGAGCTGCACGTCCTCTTCCAGCAAGCCCTCTGTCTACGCCGCTGTCTCCGCCCTCTCCCCGCCCTGCCGGAAGGGTGACCCAGCCTCCTACACCCGGTTGTGGCTGCGGCGGGATGGCGGCGGCGGCAGCGGCGACACAGACACCAACTCCGGGAGTCAGTGACTCGGGCATGGACGCGCGAATGGACCAGGAGACCGCGCAGTGGCTGCGCTGGGACCGGGTGAGGGCCGATCGCGGGCTCCTGGGTTCCCGGACGCGGCGGTTTGACCCGAGGGGCGCCGGGCCCAGCTTCCTTCCTCCCCCCCCCCCCCCCTGCTCCGCGGCACCGAGTCTTTTCGGAAAAGGCTGTTGCGGGACGGGGGCAGTTGTGTGGCCCGCTTGGCTGCTAAACCGGATAGAGGAGCGAACTGGGGCGGGGTGAACATAGCGGGACTGGAGCCGGGGTAGTCCGGGCATGAAAGGGTTTCTGGGGTTCTGTGACGGGCTGCGCATCCTCATCCGTCCAGAATCCGCTCTGTCTAGCCTTTCCCGGGACCCGGATCCCTCCACCGTCTAGAGCACCCTCCCCGACCGCATGCTTGCTAACGGGTCTCTGGTGGCCCGGGGTGATATGAGTTTCCTAGAGGACATTCACTTCCTTCCCTGGGAAGGTGACACAGGTTACACTTTGTCCCAGCTGCACCTTTCTGCTGTAAACTGTCTTATGGCTGAAACAGTTAGGTGGCCAGCTCTGGACATCACTTCCTCTGCCCTCTACAAGTTCTTTCCGACCTGTGCTTTCGTATTTCCCCATAATATTCCTCTTTCCTGTGTTCAATGGACCTTGTTTCTTTTGTTGTTATTCCTGTGTGAACTTAAACGAGGTCTTCCTCGTCTCTGAAGTGCAACTTATTTCTCTCGTACACTTTCTCTAAACAGCCCGGTCTTTTCCTTCCTGGCTCTTACTGGGATTGGAAGAAACAAAACCAGCAACCCCTTACAGGTTTGTTCGTTTCATGTCTGTTGGTGTCCATCCAGGGTTGACTTCAGGAAGTGAGACCCGCACAGGTAGACAGAACCAATGCCTGGGGGGTAGGGCCTAAGTCGTAGTTAAAAGCACTGCTTTCAGATTCTCTGTTATTAAACATGGAGCCCTTCCTTTTAATTTTCCACGGGCCCCTGAAAATATGTAGCCTGTGCTGTGTGTTCCTGCTACCTCCCGTGTCTACCGTGCCTGTACATAGTAGGTCCCTGAAGCATTTGTTGACTGGCAGAGGGTGAGAGTCTCAGAGAGGCCATCCCCCCCCCACACACACACCTGTGTCCGCCCACCCTTTTTTTCCTGGGTGCCAGTGCCAACTCCTTGAGGGAGGTTTTTCTTTTTCTCTTTTCCTGGAAAGTTAACCCCGGGATGCTTAAGGGAAGGAAACTGTTTCCATATCTGATAACTTAGTAACTTGACTGGTGTGATAACTTAGTAGCTTGATTGGTATAGATTCTCCTGGCGCCCGGGTTAAGGAAGTACTGTTCTGTTCTGGGCTATTGTGCCACCTGACCAAAGCAGAGGGGAAAGGACCACTTTGCTCACACGTGGAGAGGTGGAACAGAGCACCTCATGTCATGGTGCCTGGGAAGTAGAGAGGATGCAGGAGGAGGCCCCAGCAAAATATATTGCCTAGCAACAAGCCCCAGTAACCTCTATCCTCCAGCTGGCCCCCAGTTTTTACCTTCTGTCACCTCCCCATAATTCCACCATGTTTTGAACCCAACAAAGGAGTGACCTTCTGATTCTGTCAGAGCCCATGGTCTAATTACCTTTGGAAGCTACTTCACAGACACCCCAGAAGCGAGCGGCATTGCTTTCCTCGGCCCTTCTCAATCTCAACAAGTTGAGACTCAGACTTAGTCATCAACCTCCATAAAAGAAAACCAGAAAATGTAGTTACTCCAGAATATGGGATCTGTCTAGGATTGGTACCTCCATGGGTAGAACTGGAGGGAAACTGTCCTTTTCTCCTTTGGAGGTGTTTCAATGTTCCTTTCCCAGTCAGGCGGTGTGTGTGCATGTGCGTGTGTGTGCATGTGCGCGTGTGTGTGGTGTATAAATGTGTCTGTGTGTATGTGCGCATATTCATGCAGAGGTCAGAGGTCGGCATCAGGTAGATTCCTCAGCCACTCCCCACCTTGGCTTAACTGACTGAGCAGCCCACTCTGCGCATCCATTGCCTGTAGCCATTAGTCTTACAGATAGATGAACTCTGCTTGGCTAGGCTTGTTGGTGCAAGCTTGGGTCTTAGAGCTTGTCTTGCACGTACTTCACTGACAGCTGACTTTAGTCCCTCTCTGTTTCTATAACTGGAGACCTGTGCCTCTCTGGGAAGGTCCCATTCATTTTTTTCAGAGACACGCCCACCAGCCGAGAGTGCTGAAGCTGCTGACCCACCCACAGTGCCAAGGTGCCAAGGCACCCGACACCGTGTCCCCTGCCGTGTGCTTCCCTCCCTTGCCAGTTTCCATCACTCCCAGGTCTGACCTTATCTCTGCTGCCCTCTCCACTTTGCATTATCTCCCTGATTTGTTCTCTCGGGCTGCTGAGTCTTTTCTAGATAGCCCAGGTCAATTAGGACTTTTGAAATCCACCTTGGAAGCCCTGGATACTGGGTGTGGCCAGGAAGCCTGTGTTTTCTCACCCACTCAGCCTGTGTTTGTTGAGCTCCTTTTGTGTACCAGCTCTGAGCTTTTCCTTGGGGGCACCAGGCAGTTTAATGGGTAAGATTGTTCTCTGTGATTGGGATCTACTGTCTTTAATCAAAAGGTTGGCCCAGGTTCCTGTTGAATCCGGAACAATTTGGAAGCATAGGCTTGACACCAGGAAGGCAAGGTTTTATTGCAACCAATCTCAAAGTTTAATTATGGGGCCTTATCTTGTCCAGTGTTCATTGAGTAGCTGACACCTGGAAGCCAGGACTGCTTACTCCAGTAGTCCTTAGCTTTCAATTTAGAAGTTCATGTGGAGTTGGGTAATCACTCTAGCTCTCAAATCTTAACATCTCCTGCAGTTCTTACCCAAAGAAAGCAAGGCCATGTATGGTGGATTTAAATGTTTCAGATTCCTGTCTATGTGCAATTAATGTAATAGAATAGGCACTGGGCTGATGTTTATCGTGCAGTTAAGCAAGCCACTCAATCTCTGTAGTATAAAATACTACTAAAAGTCATTGACTGTTATTGGCCTGACTTAAGAGTCATTGAAACTTGACTAAATACAAAGGAAATACTTTATAAAAAAAAAAAAACACAACTACAAAACCCCACAAAAGTAAGGGTTTAGTTAAATTGACTGACATTGCAAATTGTGCAAGAGAGGGTCTAGCTGGTTCCCCTTTTACAGATGGAAACACTAAGTACTCAAGAAACTCCATAGCCTTCACAAGCACGGGTTTGTAAGTGATGGGTCTGGGGTCTCCCTACTAATTTTTTGTTTTTGTTTTTGTTTGTTTTTTGAGACAGGGTTTTTCTGTAGCTTTGGAACCTGTACTGGAACTAGCTTTTATTGACCAGCCTGGCCTCAAACTCACAGAGCTCTGCCTGTCTCTGCCTCCCGAGTGCTGGGATTAAAGACAGGCACCGCCACCATCTGGCTCTAAATGTCTATTCTAAAACAGCACCTTGTTCGTGTTCTCTAAAACTGCTTACCAAAGTAGGAAAGAAAATAATAAATCATACTCTCAAAACATCAAAAAACGCAAAAGCCTGTATATATTCAGGTTTTGCCTAGAGGTTAGAATTACCTGTGTGTGTGTGTGTGTGTGTGCGCGCGCGTGTGTGTTGAGGAGGGTGGCCAACTTTGCAGGTTTTCTGTCCTTCTTTTAACCAAGCTGTGCCTAATACATCCATGTTTGTCTTTCAGAATCCCTTGACTTTGGAGTCAGTGAAACAGCTCATCGCTGAGGGTAATAAAGAGGAGCTACAGAAATGCTTTGGAGCGCGGATGGAGTTTGGGACAGCTGGCCTTCGGGCTCCTATGGGAGCGGGGATTTCTCGAATGAATGACTTGACCATCATCCAGACCACACAGGTACCATGATTTTGTCGTTGCTGGTATCTCCTGATGTACCTGATAGGTTTGATTTGTTTTGATTATGGATATGTTTTTGGATCTGACAAAGTTGAGAACGTTCCCACTATTTAATCTCTGAAATGAGGCTTGTGCAGTCCTTGTTTAAAAATTCAGCAGCTTTCTATCCACCTTTTATCCACCCAGCCAGCCGTGTAACACATTTATTGAACACCTGCTGATTGTCAGGCAGGGTCAATTGATATGACTAACACAGACTCCCTTGTGGCTTATTCCTGCCACATTGTCAGCAGTGAAGGTCAGCGTCACAGGAGTGAGGTATTCCATCAGCTTGGGGCAGGTAGTGATAGCCCCAGACTGGGTGGGTTTGATTTGTGTGGCCAGACTGATTCCAGGGCCTCCTTTAGAGCTGGAATATTCAGTATTAGAAACAAGCAGATCAACAGATTTTCATCAGTTAATTGGCAAAATCATATAAAACATATTGGGTTTGTCCAACTCAATGGGTTCTCAATCCGTGGGTCCTGACCATCAGAAAACACATATTTCTAATGGTCTTAGGAACTGCAACACTCCTCAGTAGCAAAGTTACAGTTATGAAGTAGCAATGAAAATAAACATATGGTTGGGAGTTCCTAGGACCATTCAAAATATGTGTTTTCCCACGGCCTCACGCCATGCGTTGAGAACCACTGCTCAAACTTAACATCTCAGAGCAAAGAAGAAGCCGGGCGATGGTGGCGCACGCCTTTAATCCCAGCACTCGGGAGGCAGAGGCAGGCGGATCTCTGTGAGTTCGAGACCAGCCTGGTCTACAGAGCTAGTTCCAGGACAGGCTCCAAAGCCACAGCGAAACCCTGTCTCGAAAAACCAAAAAAAAAAAAAAAAAAAAAAAAAAAAAAAGAAGAAGCACAGAGCAAAGACGAATGTCTGAAATGCCTGCTAACTCTAGGCTG